CAGGTGTGGATGTGGTCTGGATGTTGTCCTGTGTCCTGTGGTCTCTATTTTAGGAAGATTTTTCTTTGTTATATTTTCATAGCTCTATGTGTTTTTGGGAGGAAATTTCCACTGCTCTACTCACGCCGCCATCTTGGCTCCGCCCCCCCTGGAGTTTTTAACTCTCAGAGTTATCCACACTGAGCCACCCACAATTCTTCAATTACTTTTCTGGTTTTCCTACCTTTGATGGTTTGCACTCATGGGTCTCTGCTCTGGTAAGTTTTTATATGTGTCTGCCTGTTGGTGTCTCTAACATTGGGGGAAGCAGTTTATCCTGTCTCCTCAGCTCTTACAGATCTTAGAAGAACTGTCAATTTTCCACTCTATTCGGCTTTTGTTGCTAGGGTGGAATGGTGGCTTCCAATCTCCTTATATGCAGAACTGCTATCTATAATATTTTTATTCTTGTGACAAAGATGGGCTTCTACAATAGTCCCAATACTAGACCCCAGAGCTTCCATGGCTCTCTTGGCACTGAGGATGGATCTCTAGGGCATTTTCACCTACCCACAGCCAAACCCCTGCAGGGATACTGGACAGCTCTTCCATCAAAGCAGGGATCACAGAAGTGGCCAAAGTGTTCTCACCATATTTATGACCTCTCAGGTCCAAATCTTGGACCCAAGGTGAAATTTAATCATAACTTTATTTCATATTATTTAGGGCATAAAATATGAAGTCTCTTCCAGTTTTATTTATAGAGCACATATGCTGAATTTTATGCTACGTTCATAGATCATCTATTTATCATGTCTAATTATTTAATTTTTAATAGAAACAGACCAGCAGAACTTCTAAACCAGGGGGCTTCAGACTGTATATGTGTGTAATTCCTAGCCCTTTACCCTAAGTGAAGATGTGTGGCTTACCTTTCAGGAAGCAGTAGATAGTTCAGTGACTGTTTTAACAGAGATGTATCATAGTGATGATCTGTTAACCCCATTCATTCCTATAAGAAGAAATATTTCTTACATGGAGTTTAGGATACTGGACTAATATACAGGAGATTTTCTCAAGAGGGTTTCTATAACATAGGAAAAAAAGTCTATGGGAGAAAAAACATTGATGACATACGATCTTTTGTCCAGGGAGTCAAGTAAGGCTGAGATCTTCAAGCCTTATCCACTTGGCAAAATCCAGTTAACAAGCCCTGGTAACAGACACTGGGGAACCATAGAGAAGGATAGTGGCACTCCAAGCCAAATTGCACTAAAATGCCAATGCTTCAAATTTCTCAGCTATGGCCAAGGAAACCTTAGCCATTACATCTCAGCCACATTCAATTAACATCACCACAAAATTAAATTAATAAGAGGAGTAGAGGACTATGGAGACCTATATAAAGGACATGATTAAAAAAGAGAATGATTATGGTAACCAGTAGGGAAGTAAAATTGGAGAATTAAATGACAAAATGGGATAATTTATTTTTTACTCTGTATTCTAAATTTTTACCTTTAAAGTAAATTTCTTAAAGTGCAATTTTTAAAATACTTCAATTTTCTTTTCTATTGAAGTATAATTGAAATACAATATCTTATTTGTTTAAGGTGTACATCAAACTGATTTCATATTTTTATATATTATGAAATGATCCCCATGATAAGCCTTGCTACCATCTCTCATCATATATGGTTATTACACTATTAGTGACTATTCTTTATACTGCAGATCATATCCCCATGACTTATTTTATGACTGGAAGTTTGTACGTCTTAATCTCCTTCACTAATATTGCTCCCACCACTACAAATGCCTTCCTTCTCTGGTGGACAACAGTTTATTTTCTGTATGTATGAGTCTGTTTCTGTTTTCTTCTGTTTTCCCATTTGTTCTGTTTATTAGATGCCACATATAAGTGAAATCATATGGGTGTCTTTCTCTGTCTTATTTCACTTAGCATGATACTCCCTAGATCCATCCATGTTGTCAAAAATGGCAAGATTGCA